CCTCCTCCTCCTCCTCCTCCTCCTCCTCTCAGCTTCTCTGCGAATTGCCTCCGCAACCTCGGCGGCGCGGGGACGCAACGACATCCTACGACCGAGGCGAGAACCCTCCGGCTCTGCGAGCCGAGCGGGCGCGGCGGCGGAGGGGGATGGAGGGAGGACTCAGGCCTGACACGGACGGGATCGAGGACGGGATCGAGGAGGGGATCGAGGAGGAGGGGGAGGAGGAGGAGGAGGAGGAGGAGGAGGAGGAGGAGGAGGAGGAGGAGGAGGAGGGGTAGGAGGAGAGGAGTAGGAGAGGAGGCGGAGGAGGAAGGCGGAGAGGCGGCGGAGGAGGAGGAGGACGGCGATAGATGTGGCGAGGACGACGGTGATAACAGGAGCTGGAGGAGGAGGAGGAGGAGGAGGAGGAGGAGGAGGAGGAGGAGGAGGAGGACGACGAGGACGATATCGAGGAGGAGATCGAGGTTGGGATCGAGCGAGGAGATCGAGGAGGAGGAGGAGGAGGAGGAGGAGGAGGAGGAGGAGGAGGAGGAGGAGGAGGACGACGACATCAAGTTTCGAGGTTTTCGGCTGCCTTCGTCAGTCGTCGGCGGCATCCCAGTCCCGGGATGCTTTCCAATAAATGTGCCTCGCTGCGGGCTGCCGGGATCGTCCCGGACGGCCACCAGAGGTCCGAGCTGTGGTCCGGAAACCATCAGGCGTCGGAGGGATGCAGACCTCCTTCGGGTCACGAAACATACGTCGGGAAGTTGCTGGCAAGCTTCGGCCTCCAGGGGCCCTCGCCAGGCCTCGCGGCCGTCAAGAGACGACTCAGGATGAAACGCCGGTCCTGGGGAATGGGTCGAGATCTCCAGAGGCCCACGTTTTGAGAAAATCACGACGTCGGAATTCTGGGGAGGAAGGGAGGAGGATGATATGAGTCTTGTTTACGAATACCTGTGCCGACGAACGCCTCTTGGTGGGAAGATGAGAAGAGCGGGAGGGGGAGGGGGAGGGGCAGCAGGATGAGGAGGAGGAGAAGGAGGATAGGAGCATTTCTTCCAGAATTTCGGAGCAGACGAATACCTGATGGGGGTGGGGGGGAGGACAGGGGAAGGGGAAGGGGAAGGAGGATGGGGAGGGAGAGGGGGGCGGGAGGGTGGGGGGACGAGGACGAGGGCGCCACGAACGCTGGCGGACGCGCGAGATTCTAGGAAGGCCACGCGCTCCTGCCGAGGATGGGGCCTCGGCAAGGGCAGAGTGATCCGTCCGCGCTCCCTCGTCGCTTCGGCGAGGCTCGGTGATGCTGGGAAGGCATGCGGGTGATCCCCGAAGGCGCCAGCGGGCGCCCAGCAGACCCCCAGAGGAGGAGGAGGAGGAGGAGGAGGAGGAGAGAGGAGGTAGCAGGAGGAGGGAGGAGGAGGAGGAGGAGGAGGAGGAGGAGGGGAGGAGCAAGCAGGAGGAGGAGGAGAGGAGGAGGAGGAGCAGGAGGAGGAGGAGGAGGAGGAGGAACCGGCTCCAGGAGGCGCCCGACGAGGCCCGAGAGGTGGCCCGGACGGCCCCCCGAAGCGGTGCCCCCCAGGAGGCAACCGGCCTCCCCCGTGGCCGTCGCTCCTCCTCTCGGGGGCCGGCGGACTGGCGCAGGCCACCTGCAGATTGCTGGGGCAGCGTGCCACTCCTCCTCCTCCTCCTCCTTCCCCCTCTCCTCCTCCTCCTCCTCCTCCTTCCTCCTTCCTATTCCGCAGGGCCTGGAAGAGGGAGCTCGGAGGAAGAATGTTCTCCACCATCATTGTGACTCTTGGGTTTAACACTGTTCCTCTGCTCCTCCTCCCTCCTAGTCCTCGATCCCCTCCCTCCTCCCCCTCCTCCCCCTCCCCCTCCTCCTCACCCTCTTACCCCCTCCCTCCTCCTTTCATTTATCCTCCTGCCATCCTCATCCTCCTCTGTCCTCCCACCTCCTCCTCCTCCTCCTCTCCTCCTCCTCCTCCTCCTCCTCCTCCCCTTCTCCTTTTGTCACCGTCGTCCTCGCCACCTGTAGACGCACGCCGTGCCGCCTGCTCTCGTCAGGGAAGCTCTGCGGAAGGGCCGCCCCGCCCCGCCCCCCCCCCCCGGAGCCCAGCCTCTGCTGCCGAGCGTCCCAGACGTGACTGCCGAAGAACACAGCCCACCCTGGACTCGCACAACCGCTCACTCACTCACACACGCACTCTCTTTCTCTCTCTCTCTCTCTCTCTCTCTTTCTCTATGTGACCAGTCTTGTACACTTATGCCTAACTAGATCTACGTATATCCTAACCATTGCCGCTGCTATCCACATCGGAAATGACTTAAGACCTGGGCTGGAATCAATTGGCCCATGAAGCTCCAGGCAGGCTGTACGCAGTCGGGAGAGCGCATACCTGTTATAGCCGTATCCAGCGGGAGTGGTCACATCTTCCGCGAGTGCCGGACTGTTACACCTCCCCCTTCTCATGTTCCTCCTCTTCCTCATGCTTGCTCGTACCTCAGGCCGCTCCTGATCCTGACTTCTTTGCTGCTAGCTTCGCAGCAGCGTCCTGCTATCAGAGCCAGCAACTCCATCGACTCCAAGCGCACCTGATTGCCCCCCAGCCTTGACAATCTAGCAAAAGCACCAATCCGGCCACGGCCCGACTGGGGTCTGTAGCACAACTGGACAGTGGATATTTTCGTGAGGGTACCCTTGGATTGCAGAAAGACGGAGAGAGAGAGAGAGAGAGAGAGAGATAGAGACAGGGAGAAAGAGAGAGACAGACAGGCAGACTGACTGACTGACAGATAGACAGACAGACAGCCAGACAGATAGACAGCCAGACAGACAGACAGCCAGCCAGCCAGACAGACAGGTAGGCAGGCAAGCAGACAGGCAGGAAAGGCAGGCAGAAAGAGAGAGAGAGAGAAGGGGCGAGAGTGGGTTTCGCCGCCTGAGCCGGTGTCAGCGCCTAAGGCCAGGGATGGGGACTGTTCATTAGACCGTCTGATGCCGATCTCAAGCGGTCACCGCCAGGTGCCTGTGACGAGCACCTCGTGCAAGTCACGCTTCCATCATCGGACGAGTTGTTGCAAAGCTCTGCCTGGAGGGGCCTTGATGCTGACGCCACCTTCAACTTCCAGATCACTTCCCATATTTCAGACATCAGCAACGCAATGCCCTTTAACAGTGTATGCTCTCCCGCGTTATGGTAACAATTCTTGTCTGCGATGTATGTATGCCTGTATGTACCTGTGTATGTATATATGTATGTGTGGATGCATTAATGTATGTAAGTGTGTGTTGGTTCGCATGTGTGGATGTATGCATGTGCGTATACATGCATGCATGTATACATGGATGCATGTATGTATGCATGCATGTATGTCTGTATGCATGCATGCATGTATGTATGAATGTCTGTTTGTCTGTCTGTCTGTCTGTCTGTCTGTCTGTCTGTCTGTCTGTCTGTCTGTCTGGCTGGCTGGCTGGCTGGCTGTATGTATGTATGTATGTATGTATGTATGTATGTACGTATGTATGTATGTATGCGTGTATGTGTGTATGCATGTATTGATGTATGTATGTATGGATGCATGCATGCATGCATGTATGCATGTATGTGTCTGCATGATTGTATGCATGTATGCATGTATACGTGTGTGTGTGTGTGTGCATGCACGTGTGTTTGCCTATGTTGGTGTGTATGTATGTACGTATGTATGTAGTTATATGTGGCTGTATGCATGTAGATGTGTGTGTATATGTGGATGTATGTATGTGTATAGATGTGTAGGTATGTATGACTGCGTGTAGTTGTGTATATGTGCAGGTATGTATGTATGTATGTAGTTATGCAGGTCTGCATGCATGCATGTGTGGGTGTGTGTATGCTTGTACGCATGTGTGCATGTAATGTATGTAAAACATGTGATGTAACGCAATGCAGCGCAACGTACGGCCATACAATGTAATTTATAGTATGGTATGGTATGGCATGGCTTGTATGTGTATATACAGATGTATATATGCGCCTCGCGCCATGAAACTTGGTCCTTCGAACTTCGTGCAATGTGGCTCTTCGCGCCATCCGCCGTGGCCTTGAACTGCGGCCCGCTCCCTAGAGTATTCTTGGGTTGCGCTGGACCCGAATCTCGAGGCGAACCCTACCATGCGGCCACGAGAACGCCAGAGGCTCCGAAAGGACGGACAACAATTGGAACATCTCGATCGTCGAACCTCGACCCTCGATCCATTGCCGTCCTGTCGGGATAAGAAACCATACCCGGGAGGCGGTTTCCGGAAGTCGCAGAGGTCTTAGGCTGTCTGGAGGCCTTCTTGGGCCGTATGGGGGCCCTCTAGAGGTCCAAGAAGCCGTCTTGGGGCGATCTTGGGGGCCTGTCGGGCCGTCAACGAATATGGCCTCTTGAGGCCTTCTTGAAGGTCATCTTGGGTGTTTCTTGGACAATCTTGGGGCCCTCTTGGGCCGTGCTGGGCCGTTTTGGGGGCGAGGGCCTTCTGGAACCCGTCTTGGGGCTACCTTGGACACTCCTGGAGCCTTCCATCGCCCTCTTTGGCCTCTCTTGGGAGCCTTTTAGGACCTCTTGGGCTTTATTGCGGCCTCATTTGGGCTTCAGTCTTGGGGCCCCGTTGTGCCGTCCAGGGGCGCTCTTAAGGGGCCTCTTGGGTCGTCGTGGGGTGATGTCGGGGACCTCGTGGGCAGTCCTGGACGCTGCGAAGCCTAACAACGCGTCTATGCAACACATCCAGGTTCTCCCTCAGGGAATTATCCTGGAGAAGGACCCAACCATGTGCATTTGTGAATAACGCAATTGTGGGTATCGTCCTCGGTGAACCTCTCTCTGGGGCCACGACGCGTGTGACGGGTGTGCCAAATTGGCACGGGTACGCGAAGCGGACGCTGCCACCGGAGCCGTCGGTGGAGCCCCATGTGAGGCCACGAAAAGTGTGAGGGGTGCGCCGAAATGCAGGGTGGAACCGCGTGCGGGCGCTGCCACTGGGGCCTTCGGCAGAGCACCCTATGGGGCCACGAAACGTGCGAGGGGTGCGCCGAAACAGAAGTGGAAGTGAATGCTGACCCTGCCACTGGGGCCTTGGGTGGAGCACCCTGTGGGGCCACGAAATGTGTCAGGGGTGCGCCGAAACGGGGTTGGAACTGCACGCGGGCCCTGCCACTGGGGCTTTCGCTGGAGCACCCTATGGGGCCGCGAAGCGTGTGAGTGGTGCGCCAAAAGGGGGGTGCAAATGCATGCGGACCCCGCCACTAGGGCCTTCGGTGGAGCACCTGATGGGGCCACGAAACGTGTGACGGGTGCGCCGGAATGGAGGCAAAACTGCATGGGGACCCCGCCACTGGGGCCTTCGGTGGAGCACCCTGTGGGGCCACGAAACGTGCGAGGGGTGCGCCGCAACTGACGGTGGAACTGCATAATGACCCTGCCACTGGGGCCTTCGGTGGAGCACCCTGTGGGGCCACGAAACGTGCGAGGGGTGCGCCGAAACGGGGGTGGAACTGCATGCTGACCCTGCCACTGGGGCCTTTGCGGGACCACGAAACGTGTGAGGGGTGCGCCGGAATGGGGGTGGAACTGCATGCGGACCCTGCCACTGGGGCCTTCGGTGGAGCACCCTGTGGGGCCACGAAACGTGCGATGGGTGCGCCGAAATGGAGGTGGAACCGCATGCGGATCCTGACACTGGGGCCTTCGGCGGAGCCCCATGTGAGGCCACGAAACGTGTGAGGGGTGAGCCGAAATGGGGGTGGAACTACATGCGGACCCTGCCTCTGGGGCCTTCGGTGGAGCACCCTATTGGGCCACGAAGCGAGTGAGGGTGCGCCAAAATGGAGGCATCGGGAGGAGGAAGGGAGGAGGGGGAGGAGGAAGGAGGAGTGAGTGGCGCGGGGCGCTGTCTCTTCAAAAAGAAGACCCAACACCACAGGATGGTTTGGACAAAAACGGTGCTTGCTTTCGTGGGGTCCTTTTGAAGGCCTCTTGGGGCGTCTTGATTGGGGGACTCTTGGGCCGCCCTGCGGCCATCTAAATCCCTCTTCGGAATTGGAAAACTCATGGGACGTCTCAGAACCCTCTTGGACCGTCTTGGGGGCCCCTTGGCACCGCTGGTGGGCCGTTTGCACGGGCAGGGAGGGGTCCTCCGAGGCCAGGACATCCCGGGTGGCCCTGTCAAGGAGCGCCCAGAAGGCCCCTGGAACCAGGGATCGGGGGGGGTCCCGTTCAGGGGGGGGATTTTCGCAAGCTTCCGCTCCATAGAAATATCTGAAGGGAATACGTTCGGGCACACCATCCCGACACCCTACTCATTTCTAGGCGGAGTCCCCCGAGCTCCACGTGCCTCAAGATAGTTTGGATTCGTCTGGGATGAGCTTCTGGTGCCTGGCCTACTCAAGGAGACGCTGGGCACAAAGTGTCAATACAGGCTCACGGTGTTGACAAGATCAAGAGCTTCTACCCATGAGGTGGGGCAAGCAGTGGGTGAGTGATGCGCTGCCCCCGAGCCTCCGCTGACTGGCAGGAACCCGCGGGGGCAATGAAGTGGGGACTTGAACCGGGAGGGGCTTGATAATGACGATGAGGATGCAGAGGTGGGAGCAGGAGCATTGTCAGGGACGAAGAGCACGGCCGACTACTCGACGGCGGCCTCCGTTGGGTGACGGCGAAAACCAGCTGCGCGTGCAGTAAAGACAAGACGGGACAAGCAAGACGGGGCAGGGAAGGAATGCACAAGGCAGTCGGACCATGGGGCGCGACCAGGCCAGACAGGAGAGACGTCACGACAGAGGACCCGCGCACAGGAGCGCAGAGGCGGGCACGGACGCACCGCTGCCGACGGCGCTGCGGCGAGGGGCAGAGGGCCAGGACCATCGCACCAAGGGCACGACCGTTATGAAGGGATCCACAGATGCAGAGGGCTCTGCGGGAGAAGCCCTGCCCCCCCCCCCGGCGTGGCTCCCTGCTCCCCGGCCTCCGCAACGCCCCTTGGCCCCTGCTTTGGCGGCGCGCACACGTGGGGAGGAGGGAGGGGGGAGGGCTTCTTGGAAGGAGAGGCTGCTCCTCCGAAGGCGCGGGCCTCACATCCGTAGAGAAGGCCCGCGCCTTCTCAGAAGCAGGGGTGCTTCGAAATAGCCCTCCCCCCTCCTCCCCACCCCCGTTTCTGCGCGTGGCGGACTGCTGCCCGCCCTAAGGGGCGCGCTGCCGACGCGGCCCCGCCGCACCCGGAGGGCACGACGAGGCCCGAGGCGGGGCGCCCGCGGCCCGCTCGACGATGGCACCCGGAGGCCGCCGCCCGAGCTCCCGCGCGTTCCGCTGCGGACGCCCGAAAGGGGTACGGAAAGGAAGGGCACAGTCGAGGCGTTGACCTAAGGAACCCCAAGTAAGGAACGAGGCCCCTATCTTCCATAAGTTGAACTTCGATGTCGTATCGGAAACCTGAGGAAACCCAAGGCAAGCTGCGAGACAATTCAGGAACACGGAGCCCCTCCCCAACGAAAAGGGTTCCTTCTTCAGGGCCCCGACTGCACAATGCCCGACAACGAATGTTGTCCCAAACCAACAGCGGCCGCTGTTGGGCAGGCGGCCTCCTGCCTCACATGGGCACAGGCCGCGGCGGCGCGGCCAGCGCGAGTCCTGCACAGAATGCACAGGGACTGCTGCTGGGCGTCGTACCCAAGGAGGAGGAGGAGGAGGAGGAGGAGGAGGAGGAGGAGTTCTTTCCGTACCCATTTCGTTCGTGCCGATCCGCCAGGAGCCCGCGGCCGACCGCTGCCGATCGGCCGCCCTGCACCGGCGGCCGCGGAGGCCGGAAGGGCCAGGAGCACCGCCCTGGGGAGGTGCTCGAGCAGGCGCAGCAGAGATTCATCACCCTCGGCATTCTCTTGGCGGCGCGCACAGGGGGGGTGGAGGGAGGGGAAGGGCTTCTTGGAAGGAGGCTGCTTCCTAGAAGGCGCTGGCCTTCCATCTACAGATAAGGCCCGCGCCTTCTGAGAAGCAGGGGTGCTTCTGAGAAGCCCTCCCCCCTCTCCCCACCCCCCTCTGCGCGTGGCCGATTCTCTCTCTGTGGTGAGGGTGGCGGCCACCTCGGCTTCTCCTTGGGTCACTTCCGCCTTGAGGTCCCCCAGGGTCCGAGCGCACGTCTGGCCAGGCAACACATGGCTCCTGCGGCCGGTGTACGCCACGCATCTGGTGCAACGAAGCACCGGCTTGCGAGTTCCGGTCAAAACAGCGAGACCCAGCTTGTGCAATCTAACCGGCTCGGCGCCCTCGAGGCGCCTCAAGGCTCAAGGTCGTTGAGAAACCTGCGCGCCCATTCACAGGTCGATCTCCTCTCTCGACGGAACTGAGGAGGCACTCCCACCTTGGAACCGACCCCAGCCTCGAGCTCTTCCCAGTCATGCCAATCTGGGGGTCGAGCATCTCCGGGGCGTCGGGCCTCACGCGGGGCTCTCTAAGAATCAAGCTCGGGAAAACGCGGGAGCATCCTCCCAAACATCCGAGCACAGGAGATGAGGGCCTGCACCCGCCGATCCAGCGCAGCCAGACCAGCGGGTGAAGGCTGTGGGTGGGGGGGTGCGGGCGTGCTTCGCGAGGCGATCCGCATCCTGGCTCGCGAGCGCCTTGAGGTTGTCATCCAGAGGGGGGCCCGTGTCACTTCACCTGAGCGGTGCGCGGGCGAGTGCCATGCCTCACCTGCCGCCGCGGAGCCGCACGCCCGCTGGGCAGCTCTGCTGGACCTGATCCGTGGCACTGTGGAAACGGACCGCGCCTTTGCAATCACTGTATGGGGCATGGAAATGCACCGCGCCTTTGCAGTCACTGCAATCCACAATGTGGTAGCAGGAGGGGGAGGAGGAGAAAGAGGAGGAGGAGGAGAAGGAGGAGGAGGAGGAGGAGGAGGAGGGCGACGACGACGAAGAGGGGGAGGAGGAGGAGGAGGAGGAGGAGGAGGAGGAGGAGGAGGAGGAGGAAGAGGAGGAGGACCAGTGTAAACCCAAGAGGCATCAACGATGTTGGAATAAGCCCTCCCTCCAAGCTCTCTCTCCATAGGCCCCTACTACGGTTCATTTCCACTAAGGGAACTGCCTCGTTGGAAGGCAACCATTTGAAGACCCTGAACATGTCAAAACATTGTTCTCGGGATCCCATCGCCACGGATCAACCTGACTGTTGCGTCTTGACAATCCCGAATCGTGCCAGAACGCCATTTCTGGGACTTCATCACCGGGAACCAACGATCAGAATCCAGAATCCTTCCAAAACACCGCTTCTGGTACGCTGATCATGGGAATCCGTGAAACTCTTGCAACTTTCTTTTAACAAGAATGTGCGCGACGCTAAGGCGAGATCCACATGTTGAAAAGGAGCCGCCCCAATCCGTGAAACTCACTCTTGCATTGTTTGAAGAATGTGCGCGGCGCCTAAGGCGAGAGCCACATCTTGAAAACGGCCCGCCCTGAATCCGTGAAACTCTTGCAAATGTTTAAAACGAATGTGCCACAGTTTAGAAATGGCCCGCCCTCAATCCGTGAAGCTCTTGCAAAAGTGCAACACGAATGTGCGCGGCGCTAGGGCGAGAGCCACATTTTGAAAACGACCCGCCCTCCATCTGTGAAAGTGTTACCAAGTGTTAAGCTTCAGGGTCATAAATGGTGGGGAAGTCTCAGGCGAAACGCCCGTCCCGCCCTCAACACTGGCCTCGGGGTGCGACAGGGAGAAGCTATTCATCAGGAAAAGGAATGGAGGAGGAGGAGGAGGAGGAGGAGGAGGAGGAGGAGGAGAGACGAGGAGGGAGGAGGAGGAGGAGGAGGAGGAGGGAGGAGGAGGAGGAGCGCGTTTTCTTTACTTTCGGCGACAAAGGCATTAAGGGGAGGGGAGGAGGGGGCCAGGGGGGGGGGTATAATGTAACGCCTCCCCCCCGCCGTGTGCCCGATGCGCACGGCGGCAGTGCCCGGAGCGCACTGGGGGGGGGAGGGGTGTTACGATTTAGGGGGGGAGGGGGGGAGGGGGACTATAATGCCCATCGTGCCCCAAGCAATAAAGAAACACGCTTCGAGGAAGGAGGAGGAGCAGGAGGAGGAGGAGGAGGAGAAGCAGGGAGAGGAGGAGGAGGGCCCTACCCCTACCGCGGGGCTGCCCGCCCGCCCCCCAGGGCCCCTCCTGCTCGTCCGGGTGGCGCAACCGCGCCACCGCCGCGAGCACGGCGCGCCGCTGGCGGCGGCGGCGAGGCGTCTTTCGTGGTGCGCTGCCGCGGGCACGGCGCCGTCGGAGCTAATCCTCCTCCTCCTCCTCCTCCTCTCCTCTTCCTCCTCCTCCTCCTCCTCCTCTTCCTCGTCCTCTTTCTCCTCCCTCCTCCCTCCTCCTCCTCCTCCTCCTCCTCCTCCTCTTCGTCGTCGTCCTCCTCCTCCTCCTCCTCCTCCTACCCCTCCTCTTCTCCGTTGTCGTCCTTCTCCTCCTCCTCCTCCCACTCCTCCTCCTCCTCCTCCTCCTTCTCCCCCTCCTCGTCCTCGTCTTCCTCCTCCTCCTCTTATTACTACTATTTTTTATTAGCAGTATTGTTATCATTATATCATTCGTATACTGATTATTATTTCTCTTACTAGCATCCGCCCTCGTATTATCAGTATCCTTATATGTTCGTGTTATTGTGAAACTATTGCTATGCATATTCGTAGTACTAATATTCGTAGAGTTCTTATTCGTAGGCTTAGTACCAATACTATTCGTGTTACGACGGATGATATTCTGACTATAATTAGCTGTAGGGTTACTGATGCGAGTGATCTGAGAACTGGGAATAAAACTATTATTAGTATTCGTGTTATTATTATTAGTAGTAGTAGCAGCAGCAGTAGTAGTAGTAGTAGTAGTAGTGGTAGTAGTAGTAGTAGTAGCAGTAGTATAACCATTAATATCAATATTGATATTCGTACTGTGATTAAGAATGCTATGATGATGATGCTGATGCCGATGCTGCTGCTGATGATGATTGATATTAGTATTCGTATTATGAATATTACTATTATTATTACTATTAAGATGTTTGTTAGTAGCAGTAGTCGTAGTAGTAGTCGTAGTAGTAGTAGTAGTAGCAGTAGTAGTAGTAGTCGTAGTAGTAGTAGTAGTAGTAGTAGTAGTAGTAGTAGTAATCGTAGTAGTAGTAGTAGTAGTAGTAGTAGTAGTAGTAGTAGTAGTAGTAGTAGTAGTAGTGGTAGTAGTAGCCGTCGTGTAGCAGTGGTAGAAGAATAAGAAGAAAGTAGTAGTAGTAGTAGTAGTAGGTGGTGGTGGTGGCGGTGGTGGTGGTTGTAGTAGTAGTAGTAGTAGTAGTAGTAGTAGTAGTAGTAGTAATATTGGTGGTGGTGGTAGTAGTAGTCGCCGTCGTCGTAGTAGTAGTAATAGTAGAAGTAGTAGTAGTAGTAGTAGTAGTAGGAGGAGTAGTAGTAGTAGCAGTAGTAGTAGTAGCAGCAGCAGTAGTACTCGCAGTAGTAGTAGTAGTAGTCGTCGTCGTCGTCGTCGTAGTAGTCGTAGTAGTAGTAGTACTACTACCACTACTATACTACTACTAGTAGTAGTAGTAGTAGTAGTAGTAGCAGTCAGTAGTCGTCGTAGTCGTAGTAGTAGCAGTCGTCGTAGTCGTCGTCGTCGTCGTCGTCGTCGGCGTCGTCGTGTCGTCGTCGTCGTCGTCGTCGTCGTCGTCGTCGTCGTCGTCGGTTCGTCGTCGTCGTCGGTCGTCGTCGTCGCCGTAGTAGTAGTAGTAGTAGTAGTAGTAGTAGTAGTAGTAGTAGTAGTATAGTAGTAGTAGTAGGTAGTAGTAGTAGTAGTAGTAGGTAGTAGTAGTAACAGTAGTAGTAGTAGTAGTAGTAGTAGTCGTCGTCGTCGTCGTCGTCGTCGTCGTCGTCGTCGTCGTCGTCGTCGTCGTCGTCGTCGTCGTCGTCGTCGTCGTCGTCGTCGTCGTCGTCGTCCCCTGGCCCTGGCCCCATCCCCCCTCGCCCTGGACCGTTTATTCTCTTGCACAGCTGTGTTCTAGAGCTCGGACCTCTTCATTTTCGATCGTCGTCGTCGCTCGTCCGTTCGTCGTTCCCCCCCGGCCACAGAAGGAAACTCCTGGAAGAAGGAGGCGAAAGCCTCCTGTCCCTCGCAGCTCCTTGGTGCAAGAGCCAGGGCACGCGTGCCACTGGTTCAACACCCGGCGACGACGTGATGTGTTCAATCCTTGCGTTTCCCCTCGATTCCATCGTCTGTGGGCTGCTTGTCTGGACCCGGGACCCCGTGGTGAATGGGACGGGACCTCTGGGATCGCGGTTTGAAAAAATCACACCGTCGGATGTGCACACTTACGCCAGGTTCGTGCCGTGCTGACGCCAGCAGTGGTCTGTGACACCGCGTGGATCGTTCAACCTTGAACAATCGGAGGCTTTTCGACCGCCAGATCTTTCCGTACTGGCTGACTCTGGCCGCCGCCGACCTTCGACCTTGAACTCCCATGCTCAGGTCGCCGCCGCGTCGCCACGACGCGAACCTACCGTGCGCACCAGGCCCTGCGGCCCCATCCCCGAAACGCTACCCTGGGCAATGAGCTCCCCCCTCCCAGCCCTTCTCACGCCCCCATCCCACGATCTCCAGGTGGGGCAGTGTGGCTGGCGACGACAGATTCACCACGGCAAGAATGTAACGCAGGCACAACCGAAAAGAAGCCGATTCCATGCCGAGAGACGCCGTGAGGCAGCCAAACCTGTTCGCACGAGGGGGGCCTGAAGAGAACCTACGGGATCTGTTAAGTCATGGCTTGCACAAATGGCCCAACGAAACTACAATATCACCCAGCCAGTGGACCTCCAGGGAGTGGTATGAGTGGTATCGTCTGCAAGACGTTCGGACCATCTGTCCTGCAAGACACCCCAGGAAGAGCGACTCTGGCAGTCAATGCCTGGGAGCACATCCAGTTACCACATCCAATATTGGTGCCTAACCGACTCGGACGCCTAGTGAGTCCAAGCCAGCTGTAATCACAAGCGCAAATGTTGCAAGGAAGGCTCTGAAGACGATACAAAAGCCCAGCGTGCAACGCGCAGCAGAGACCATGCAGCGCTCTGGTCAAACCTTACCACTAGCCCATGGCTGAACCTTTGCCCTGCTCCAGTTCACTTCCATCGGGGCGGCGCCAAAAACTTGGTAACGTGAGGTGCCGCCACCAGGCGGAGCCGAAGGGGGTCACCACTCAGGAGATCGCCACCTCCTCCAGGAAACGGGACCCCCTTGATCCCACAGACCCCCCCCAGGATGTCCAAAAACGTCCCCCAACTTCCTCAAGCCTCGATGATCCCTCCTCCTCCTCCTCCTCCTCCTCCTCCTCCTCCTCCTTCTCCTCATCCTCCTTCTCCTCCTCGATTCTCAACTTGTGAAAAGAGATCGTGACCCCCCTAGCGGTGACCCCCCTCGGCACTTACGACTTTTCGCAAGGGGGGAAACCAATGCGCGGACACCAGGTGAAACGCCGTCCTCGCCGCTCGCCACGGCGTCCCTGGACGGCACCGGCGGCAGGCTCGTGATCCCACGCGGTGTGCCGACGTTGTTGTCCAGCTCCTTCCCGCGGCGGCTGAGTAGGCGAAAGACGAAGCCAGGATCGGGTCGGGGTACACGTCGTTCATTTCTAAGCGTGCTCATTTCTGCTTGCGCTCGTTTCTGACTGTTCCTGGCCCCCCAGTGGCCAGGAAGAGGCCCAGGATAGAGCCATTAGAAATCGAAGGATCTTGGCCCCCCAAAAAAATCAAAGAACTCTCGAAGAAGCAGAAACGCACACTGCGCAGGTCTGGGGCCTCCGAGGTCCGGCGGCTCTGGGGGGGGGTGCACCCCGCGCGCCGCGGCCGTCCCAGAGCCTCTTCGGAACGCTCCGAAGGCGTTAGCAGGGCGCGCCGGGCCGATCCCGTGCCAGCCCCGGGGCGGGGCAGCAGTGAGGGATGGAAGGAGGTGATGAGAAAGAGGGGCAGGGGCGGGGGAGCCGGGAAGGGGGAAGGGGGACGGAAGGGGGGCGGGGCAGCAGTGATGATCCAGGATGCTCCTCAATGATCCCCGGGGAGAAAAAGTGCACACGTCCGAGCGATACCAAGAGGAGGTGATGAGAAAGAGGGGCAGGGACGGGGGAGCCGGGAAGGGGGGAAGGGGGATGGAGGGAGGGAGGGAGGTGGATGAGGAGGAGCAGGGATAGGACGCAGTGGGGATGTGGCAGGAGGAATGGATGGAGCGAAGGGGGGTGAGAGGGGAGGAGGCAAAGGGACGAGGGAGACCACCCTTTCAATTTCCCTCCACCCCCTTCCCACATCCAGCTCTGCACCTTTTCTCTGAGGCAATCAGTCGAGCTCGTCAGAACTCGAACAACTCTGCACCTCGTTCTCCCTTCTCCTTCCTGGGGGGGGCGAGGGGAGACTGGCAGGGGGGCAGGGAGGTGGCACAGGGAGGGGAGTGACTTGACTGGTCTGGGGAAGGTACTGACTTCGTGTGGGGAGAGGGGGGGGGGGGCAGGGTGAAAGGTGAGCTATCAGGAGGGAAGAGCGGAGAGCCGAACGAGAGAGAGAGAGAGAGGGCGCGAGAGAGAGAGAGGGTGGTAGTGGAGAGAAGCGGGAAGTCAGCGAGGAGACATCGACGCCGAATGCCATTCCCCGCGGCAGCGTCGCGCACGAGGAACGCCGCCCCTCGTCCAGCACAGACTCGGGGCGAGGGTCCCAACAAGAAGATCACTGCAGCAACAGACCGTCGGGGAAGGAGCGCGCGGGGACCCTTGGGTCCACAATGCCCTGGATAAGCATGAGGATGAAGCGAAGGAGAGGAAGGAAGATGATGACGATGATGATGAGGAGGAGGAGAAGGAGGCGGAGGAGGAGGAGGAGGAGGAGGAGAAAGGAAAATGATGATGATGATGATGATGATGATGATGATGATGATGATGATGAGGAGGAGGAGGAGGAGGAGGAGGAGGAGGAGGAGGAGGAGGAGGAGGGGAAGATTGCTTTGAGGGGACTGAAAGGGGAGGAAGGCCAGAGCAAGCCCAAGGTGCAGCAGGGGTGCGGCAGCACGCCCTCCCGAGCCCCCCCTCCTGCTCATGAGCCCCTGCGATCCTGTGCCGCTCTCGACTCGCCGAGGGCAACAGGCATCGGCCAACGGGGAGGGCGGGCGCGCCCGGCCCCGCGCGTGCTGCCGACACGTCTGGTGGTGCGACGGGGAGGAGCTGCTCATCTGTGAGGGGCCTTCCTCTCCTCGGTGGGGCAAGACGGAGGAGGAGAAGGACGAGGAGGAGGAGGAGGAGGAGGAGAAGGAGCTATCTATGAGGGTATTCTTTCTTCGGTGAAAAAGGGCGAAGGATGATGATGATGATGATGATGATGATGATGATGATGATGATGATGATGATGATGATGATGATGATGATGATGATGATGATGAGGAGGAGGAGGAGGAGGAGGAGGAGGAGGAGGAGGAGGAGGAGGAGGAGGGAGGAGGAGGAGGAGGAGGAGGAGGAGGAGGAGGAGGAGAGGAGGAGGAGGAGGAGGAGGAGGAGGAGAGGAGGAGGAGGAGGAGGAGTGGGAGGAGGAGGACAGGGTGAGGAGAAGAGAGGGAGGGAGGGAGGGAGCGAGGAGGGGGAGCCGCACCCCTGGCCCTACCCGTCCTTGCTGCGGTGCCGCAAGACGCAGTCGAACCGGTTGCAGCTGTCGAGCTTGTCGAATTCTCGGCTCTCCGCGCAGCCCATCGCACCGCGCGCACGCGCGGGGGGCCACGGGGGGGCGCCCGGGGAGCGGCCCGGGCGCCTCTTGGGCGCAGGGCAGGGGGAGGGGAGGGAAGGGGGGAGGCTCCACGAGGAGGAGGACGAGCAGGAGGAGGAGGAGGAGAAGGAGGAGGAGCGAGAAGGAGAGGGACTTCGAGGAGGAGGAAGAGGAAGAGGAAGAGGAGGATGATGATGATGAGGAGGAGGAGGAGGAGAAGGAGGAGGAGGAGGAGGAAGAGGAGGAGGAGGAGGACGAGGAGGGGGAGCAGGAGGAGGACGCGGGCGGGGACCGAGGAACGGATACCGGGGGCGGAGGAGGGTCGGGGGGGCAGGGCGCGGTGGAGGTGCACGACGGGGCGGAGGATCACGAGGACGACGGGGGGGAGCTCGGGAGGCGGAGGACGACGAGGGCAGGGACGGGGAGCAAGGGCGCCCACCTCGGTGGCACCGGCCGGTCCAGGCCCGCTTCTTCCCGCGTTCGACGGTCGCCTCTCGTTGCGAAGCGTGCGCTTTCCCCCCAGCCCCCTTCGACAGAGTGCGACGACGGCAAGGACAAGGAGGAGGAGGAGGAGGAGGAGGAGGAGAAGGAGGAGAAGGAGGAGGAGGAGGAGGAGGAAAAGGAAGAGGAGGAGGAGGAGGAGGAGAAGGAGGAGGAGGAGGAGGAGGGAGGAGGAGGAGGAGAAGGAGGAGGAAGAGGAGGAGGAGGAGGAGGAGGAGGAGGAGGAGGAGGAAAAGCAGGACCAGGAGGAGGAGGAGGAGGAGGAGGAGGAGGAGGAGGAGGAGGAGGAGGAGGAGGGCATGCAACATCATGCGCCCACTTCTTCCCGCATTCGAAGGCCGCCTCTGGCATGCCAGCTCAAAGCGTTCGCCCCTGGCATCGACCGGTCCACGTACCGCGGCTGCTCCTGCTAACCAAGCCCCCTCCCCTTGGGCGGCCGCGGTTCTTCCGGCATGCCGTGCGCCCCTCCCCCGCGCGGCGAGGGAACGGCCGCTCCCAGGAGAGCGGCGCGAGAGAGCCGCCGACGGCTTTCGCGCCGTGGCTCGGCCCTGCGGCGGCTCTCTGGGGCGACCCGGGCGGGCACCACCGCAGCGCCCTCGACGAGGCGCGGCCGCCGGAAGGCATGCCGAGGCCGCAGAGCCGCCGAGGACCGCCGGGAGCGGCCGAGGGTCGCCGAGGAGGTCGGAGGGCCGCCGAGGAGGGCCGAGAGCCGCCGGGCACGCCCGGGGAGCCGCTAAGGAAGGTGCCCGAGCACCGCCGAGGGTGCCCGAGGCTGGAGGCCCTGGCCTCCTCCCCGAGGAAGAGGACGAGGAGGAGGAGAAGGAGGAGGAGGAGGAGGAGGAGGAGGAGGAGGAGGAGGGAGGAGGAGGAGGGAGGAAGGAGGAGGAGGAGGAGGAGAGAGGAGGAGGAGGAGGAGGAGGAGGACGAGAACGAGGAGGAGAGAACGAGGAGGAGGAGAACGAGGAGGAGGAGGAGGGAGGAGGAGGAGGAGGAGGAAGAGGAGAGGAGGGAGGAGGAGGAGGAGGAGGAGGAGGGAGGAGGAGGAGGAGGAGGAGGAGGAGGACGAGAACGAGGAGGAGGATACGGAGGAGAAGGAGGAGGAGGAGGAGGAGGAGGACGAGGAGGAGGATAGGAGGAGGAGGAGGAGGAGGAGGAGGAGGAGGAGGAGGAGGAGGAGGAGGAGGAGGAGGAGGAGGAGGAGGACTTTTGGGGGTCGCGGGCGCGCGAGGCGGGTCGGACGCCGGGCAGGCAGGGGCAGGCGATGCCTCCTGCGAAGGAGAAGCGGGCCAGCGAGCGCGGCGGGGCAGGCGGACCCCAGGGCGGCCACGAAGGTGCGGGTGCGGGGGAGCACCCTGGCCTCGGGCGCGAGGCGCTGCCTTCTGCGCGGGCCCCGCCCAGACGCCACGCTGGCATGGTCGCCCCCTCGAGCTGCACCTGGCCGTGGGTCCCGGGGGGGGGGGCGCCGAAGCCAGGACGCGTCGCAGCACGGCAGCGAAGCGTGCCCTCCTCCCTGCCTGAGGCCCCCAAGAGGCACAAAAGAGGCCCCCACGAGGCCTCAAAACTGCCTCCGAGAGGAGAGGCCCCCGAGGCCTCCCACGAGAGCCCAAACATTACCCAATGGGCTTCATGCCCACAGCCCGGGCACAATGGCGGGACTTGCCGTAGGCAGCTGGATATCCTCCTCCCTGCCTTTGCTTGCCATCGCTCGGACGTCAATTCCCCGTGCATGTTTCGGTTTCGTGCTTTGCTTTCGCCAGGTGACCTGAGATGCTCCTCAATAGTTCTCGCGAGAAAAAACACACGTCCAAGCGATGCCAAGTTCAACAACTATAGTCCGAGGGCCTGAGGAAACAGAGAAAGAGAGAGAGAGCAGGAGCAGGAGCAGGAGCAGGAGCAGGAGCAGGAGCAGGAGCAGGAGGAGGAGGAGGAGGAGGAGGAGGAGAGCGAGAGCGACGGCAACAAAGTCTGCTCGCTACAATTGAAGAAGAAATCCAGGACCAGGATAGCAAAAGAAGGAGGAGGAGGCCCTCCATCCTTGAGGCCGCTGCGAACATGTAGGACGAATGTGCGCGGCGCTGAGGCGAGCGCCACATTTCGGATAGAACCCGCCCTCCATCCCTTGAAACTGTTCCAATACTCAAATTCCAAGGGGCGTGCCTGTGCCCGGCAGGGTGTCGTATCGTATCGTATCGTATCTTATCGTATCGTAAGAGCGGATGGAGGAGGAGCAGGAGGAGGAGGAGGAGGAGGAGGAGGAGGGACGAGGAGGAGGGACGAGGAGGGATGAGGAGGGAAGAGGAAGAGGCGGAGAAGGGACAGAGACGGGGACCGGAACCGCGAGGACCTGGACCAAGAGGATCCGGAGGAGGGCGCACGGCGCGAGTCCTCAGGGCCGCGCGCCCGCCACGCGCCCGAAGGTCCAGCCGCCCCCGCCCAGGCTGAGCTCGTGCGTGTGCAGTTCGCGGAGGGCCGGGCGGTGGGTGATGGAGACGACGCAGGGGGCCTCTGAGGAGGAGGAGGAGGAGGAGGCTGTGGAGAAGGAGGAGGAGGAGGAGGAGAAGGAGAAGGAGGAGGAGGAGGAGGAGGAGGAGGAGAGGAGGAGGAGGAGGAGGAGGAGGGGGAGGAGGGGAAGGTTGGGGAGGACGGAGGAGGAGGAGGAGGAGGAGGAGGAGGAGGAGGAGGAGGAGGAACCATAGGAAGATGTTGACGATGAGGAGCAGGAGGACGGGTGTCTCAGGATGGGAACTGACTACATCACGCCGCAGCGGTCATTTTGACCCTCGGCAGGGGTGTAGCATACTCCCCACTGCGATCTGCCGAATAATGCCTTGTATAATGACGTTTGCCTGTCTGTCACAGCATTGCCCTACAGTCGGACTTGATTGGACAGGACGCGCGAGAGGACACAAGACCCTTCCAAGAACCAAGTTGCCACAGGAATCTGGAGGGGCAAGGAACGCGAGACACAGGACACAAGGGTCCCCTTGATTTGGCAAGGCCGACCTGCTCATCAAGGCCGACTGTATTCACACTGCCGTCCGCATTTACGAAGAGCATCGGCCTACATGTGTCAAGTCCTCACGCCGTTGCCAGTTCTGACGCTTGTGCTTATCACTAAGGCCCGCCAACACAGACTGTGCCAGCCTCGTCGGCAACGCCACATAGATCCACACCGCCGTTCAAGCTCACCCCACTATCAGTTTCAATCCCTCGTAGCCCGCCAGCCTGACAGACACTAGGTGGGGAAGGCGTTTTTGAGGAGTGGGGCCTGGGGAGGTGGGACTTACGATTCCAACACAGCGGCCTCGCAGCCTTTAGGTAATCCTTAGCCCTTAACCACAAGGATAGAAAACACAAGACGTACAAGCCAACTGACAATACGTTCGCCTTTCACTTTTACCGCCGCCTGTCTGCACGTGCATTTCTTCACCACGTTCGGGTCCTTCCCCCATTACGACGTGCGTTATGTTATGTTGTTGGTTCTGTCTTCCTCTATTCCTTCACTGGCTGCTCGCTTAGTTTCTCTGTGTCCTCACAAACACATCGCCTTTTACCAATGTTGCTGGGCCCCACGTTCTTCCGCATTCGCATGCAGCCTTAATGCGTTGCCTCTCGCACCTAAGCTGGAACTGATGTCATAGCTGCTCTTTGTTACCACCGAAGCGCTGCAATGTGTCGGTTGAAATTCGCCGAGCGTCGAAAGGAGGAAGAGGAAGAGGAGGAGGAGGAGGGGGAGAAGGAGGAGGAAGAGGAGGAAGAGGATAATGAGGAATAATGAGGAAGAGGAGAAACAGGAGGAGGAGGAGGAGGCGGAGCGTACCCAGGAAGTCGATTTGATCAAATCTCGGGAGAGAATCGGCCCCCCACACTGCGGGGAGTGAGCGGTGGCGGAAGCCCCCTAAGATAAACTCTGAGAACAAGAAGGAGGGCATGACGAAGCACCAGAAGAGGGGCACCGCGAGGATGACCGGACAAGCCTATGGTGACAAAGCTGGCTCGCCGATGTCGTCGCTGATGCCCTCGACTGTGGCCTCCTCGAAGAAGACTGAAGACGCAAGAATGATGAACACCACTGACTCGTTAATCAACATCGGGAAGGGGCGGTTGGCCGATAGCCTCGTGCAGCCATCCTGGCGCCGTCCACCCAGACGAGAGAGTCAAGAGGTCGTCTATCAAGTCATCACCAAGAATGTCATCAAACTTGCCATAGTCAATGGGAGTGCTCGGTGGTTCCACCCTCCTCGGACCAAGCGAGGAAGAAGGAGGATCGCATCCATGCCTCGCCTCCGACACATCTCGGCCAACAGGATGTATAAATATGCAATCCGAACGATGACACGTCATTCCGTATCTGCATAATGTAGACCGCGCCACTGCTGAAGGTGCGGCGCTTCTTTTAGATGAGGCCGAGGCAGCAGAGCTAGAGGACGCCATGGGAGGTGCAGGCACAAAATCGGGCATCTTGTCAAGCCGCTCGCGCAGCACTTGAACCTGTGTCTGGACATCAGAAAGATCGCGGCATATCGACTCCAAACTCTCGACGCGGGCCGATATCCCTTCGATTTCAGCACGCAGAAGGTTAGAATGCTCGGTAACAGTGGCCAGCTGCGTATGGGATGGCGCGGTGTTCTTTGCAATCTGTTTCCCATGCACAGCGAGCATATCCAAAATTTGGGAGAACTGTCTGTCAAGACCAGGCATAATCATCTGCACGATACTGGGGACAACTGTTGCAGCAATCGTGGGCCCAATAGTGCTGACAATACCATTGAACGTGTCGTTGATTACACTGGTGAGCCCAAGCGCAGACACAGCTTCATCAACAGCGGAAGAAATCTTGGCGTCAATGCTACTATCACCAGCAGAGGTAAGCTCCTGGGCAGTATCGTTGGTTAAGCACCCAGCAGATGCATAGGCATGGCGCTCGAGGACTCCAGACAATTTAGCAATCGACTCGTTCTGTGCGGAGACAAGCTCTTGGTAAGAAGCTAGTTGACCATCGTACACTTGTTGCGACACCGATAACAGCTCCGGAACAGAAACCAGAGGTGCGGCCGCCGGCTGGAACTCTTGAGCGTGACGGTTGAAATGGTGAGCTTCCCGATTATGAGCACGGCAGTAACGAGGAGCTCGTGTGCGTGGCACAATAGAACGAAGAGGATACGCAGCTCGCAGTTCCGTTTCCAAAGCAGCCATGAACTCATCTTCCCACTGCGTGGTGTGGTGCCTGGCAAACTGGTAAGCGATGCCGATGTGTTTCAAGCGTCTTCGCGTGGAATTAGAAAGAGCAGAGCGATGGGCGTGAGCAGCCATCTGCAACCCAGTAAAATGGCGATCTGCATAATCCGCCAGAAGACGCATCGCACGGCCAGACAAATAAGAAAGATGTCCACTCACAACTTCCATAACGAGGAGCACGTATGATATCAATCGAACACAAGAATGAAGAACAAATAATCAAAACATGCCTGGGCTCGCTTGAGCCGCGGGCCAAATTTGCCGTCTTGAGCCTTAATGGCTACGGAGGAGGAGGAGGAGGAGGAGGAGGAAGAGGAGGAGGAGGAAGAGGGGGAGGGGGGAGGGAGGGAGCAGGGAAAGAGGAAACGGAGCAGGAAAAGGACGACGCGGAGGGGCCTCCAGCCTGGAGTACAGCTCCGCCTCCGCCTCTGAGCGTCGTTCAACCGACCCCTATCCCCATGGGCGTGGCTGGGGCCCCCACTGGCCGATACACCCCGCCTGATGGGGACATTGTATGTTTCCACCAGGTTTGGAACGGTAAATCCCCAACTGGGGTGCCCGGGACGGCGGGGGTCGGGATGGGGATGGGGATGGGGATATGGAGTCGTTGAGCGATAGTGAGCCTCGGGGTCCAGCGCCGAGGTGGCCTCGTCGAGCACCGCCAAGCGCGGGCGGTGCAGCAGAAGGCGGCAGAAAGCGCAGCGCTGGCGCTCCCCGCGGGAGAGCACGGCCTCCCAGTCCTCCGCGCCGTCGAGGCCGTGGCGCTCCAGGACGGTATCGAGCAGCGCCGCCTTTTTTTGCGCAAAGGCCCGACGTCGAAAACTGCCTCGGCGGAGAGCAGGGGGGGGGGAAATGGGAAGCACGAGGCCTCTTCAGAAGGCGGCGGGACCTCTCAGAGGCCCTCGCGCCTTCTGAAAAAGTGGTGCGTCTTCGGGGAAGGCTCAAAACGCTTCTGAGAAAGCCGGGGGGCACCCTTAGGATGCAACTACTGGATTAAGCCCCATTTGGGAGCTGTTACGCCGGAATGGGCCTCGGACTAAGCGGAATTAAGCCGGATCGAGCGGGATTCAGCGGGAGATCAGGCCGGAGTTCGGACCAGGGCAGAATCAGAATTCGACCTCCCAGAAGTTGCGTCCGAAACACCCGAGCCTTCCGAGAAGGCCCGCGCCCCTTCTCACTTCCCCCCCGGCCCGCCGCCGATCGCCGGCTTCCCAACTGATGGGAACAGGGCCCTGCTACAGTCGAGGTGCTACCCCCAGGAGCGCCTAGGTGCACGAGGAGTGATGGGGGAGGAGCCATGGAAAAGCTGAAGGAACGGCGAGCCCCTTCCGCACCCGAGGCGTTCCTTATTTCAGCGTCTCGTCTGTACGGAAGAAGCAGACCGTGACGACAGCCACAAAACGCGGGGCCCCAGGAGCGGAATGCATGCGGATGGATTTTCGGAGTGCTTGCACAACCTCTTCTTCAAGTTTGCCGCGCCCCGACGAAAGAAGCACGACCGGAAGCCCGAAGCATGGATCCTCAACGGGCCAGGCCTGAATCTGTGTTTCCAGCCTCCCCGACATGCGGCCGACTAGCGGCGCACACGAGACACGAGCTGTACATGCACAGCCAAACACGCAAGAGAAAATCAACATATACTCGAGCAGCGCCACCTTCGGTTGCGTGATAAACGATTCCTAACCCAACAACGGCACCCCTCAGATTGGGCATACTTGGTAGCTATATGACGCTATATATATACACATACATACATACATCCATCCCTCCATCCGTCCGTCCATCCATCCATCCATCCATCCATCCATCCATCCACCCACCCACCCAACCATCCATCCATCCATCCATCCATCCATCCATCCATGCATGCATACATACATACATACATACATACATACATACATACATACATACATGCATGCATACATACATACATACATACATACGCACATGCATACGTGCATGCATGCATGCATGCATGCATACACACATACATACATGCAATTCCACACATACACATACACACATATACACACACCTACATACAGACACACATACATGTATACATCCAAACATACATGCATGCATGCATGCATATATGCATACCTGCATGCATGCACATGTACATAAACATACACATACATTCATACGTTCATACATACATGCGTACATCCATACATACGAACAGGCATACCTACATACATACATACATACATACGTACATACAAATATACATGAATACATGCACATACACACATATGCACATACATGCATACATGCATACATACAGACAGACAGACAGACAGACATGCATACATACATGCACACATACAATCACACATCCATACACATGAACACATACCACCACAACATATTTATGTAAACAAAGACAAATATACATTTATACACATGCACACCTGTATGTATACATGTGTATATATATATACACATATGTATCAGAAGCATCGCGCGCTTGTTCAAGTTCTAGCTAGGCTGGATGGTCGAACTCTTGGGGATCTCTATTCCATGACACTTCTTCTATTGGGCTTCCAAGAACCACGAAGACTGCCCGAGTGGTTTCCAGGACTTCCTACGGTCCACCCACGATGGCCTAACACAGGTCCAAATGGACTTCGGGAACTCTTTTGTTCGCCGCGGATGGACTTAGCCGGAGGAAGAGGGAGGAAAAGGGGAGGTGAAGAGGCTCCCTGGGGGATAAGGAGAAGGAGAGGGTGGAAGAGGCCGCAGGGAAGGAACCGGAGGAGGAGGAGGAGGAGGAGGAAGAGGAGGCAATATGATATCTCTTTTTTTGCAAACGTAGCGAAGCTGCCAGGCGAACTTCAAAAACAGCAATGTTGGGAGCCCCGTTATTTTCTCGAGTGCCCTCGGGGCCTCTTTCTCGGGGCTCTTTTTAGGGCTCTTTTTGGAGTTTCTTGGGGACCTCCTTGAGATCATTTTTTTATTCCGGCCGGTAACGCTCGTTACCCGGGGGGGGGGGGGGGTCGTGCCCCCCGGGTAACGGTAACGCTTGGGCTGGGCGGGGTATGGCGAAGCAGGGGCGCTCTGCGATCGCCATAGTATGCGCGCGAGCAGCACTCTCTGCCTGAGAGCACCACAGTGGCTTGCGATTCGAGTACAAGCGCAAAGCCCGCCGCGTGGTCCCGGCACCACGCCCGCGCCCGCGCGCGCGACGACGATGATCGACGAGCGACGAGCGACGAGGTCGACGACGACGACGACGACGTTTGCCGCCTGTTTCGGCCTCCGGAGGCCGTTTTCGGGCGCCGTCGACGACGACGACGACGACGACGACGACGACGACGACGACGACGACGACGACGATTCGAGTACAAGCGCAAAGCCCGCAAGCACCAGCATCGCGCATGCGAGCGCCGCAATGGCCTGCGAGCGCCCACAGTGCGCCTGCGACCACCACACCACAGTGCGCATGCCTTCGGGCACCAGCATGTTGGAGGGGAAGACCGAGACCCCCCCCGCGTACGAGCGTTACCGTTACGGGGGGGGGGGGGGGGGGAGAGGCCCGGGTAACGAGCGTTACCCCCCAGAGGATAACAAAAACAATCTCCTTGGACCTCTCGAGGCCTCCTGGGGGGTCTCCTGGGGCGAAGATCTCGGGCTCTCGGCTCACGTTCCCGATCCCGGGGCCGCGGATGAGGCCCGCTCGGGCCGCTTTTGGACGCCCCTTCGGCGCCTTTTGGAACCTCTTGGGCCGCCTTTGGGGCGCTCTTGAAGCCTGTGGGGTCGTCTGGGGGCGATCCTCGGAGCCTCTCGGGGCGTCGTGCAGCGTCGGGGAGCGGAAGAGGCGGAAACGCCAACATTGTTCAAAAGCCCATGGCACACAGATGTGGTTTGGCCTCTTCGGGCTCCGTCGGAAGACCTCCTGGGTATTTCAGGAGGGCCCATTGGGCCGTCTGGAAGCCGTCTTGGGCGTCTTGGACCATCTAGTAGCCTTCGGCCCATCCCGCCACCGTGCCTGGATTGTAGTCTAGAAGCGTCTTGGTAATCCCACCAGCCCTCTGGGCGTAGGTGGTCTAGAGCAGATCCTCTTCCACCCCTCCCTCTTCCCCCTTGGGGAGGGGTTTACCCCTCCCCCTACCCCCTCCCCTGGACCTGGACGGGGGGGGCCGCGGGTAGTTAGAGCGTCCCAGATGGCCCAAGACGGCTCCAAGAGCGCCTCAGAGAACCCAAGATGAGCTCCAAGATGGCTCAAGATAGCGCAAGATCGCTCGAGATGGCTCCTAAGATGGTTCCAAGAAGCCCAAAGACGGCCCCAAGATAACTCCAAGTGGCCAAACAGCTCCCCAAGGAGGCCCCGAAGAGGCCAAAATCGTCCCAAAACCTAAGGAAAATCAATGATTTTTGCTTTCTCGCCTTTTCGCTTCCGATGGCCATCCGAGGCCTGGAGATGGCTCCAAGATGGCCCAAGAGGGCCCCAAGAGAGCCCCAAAAGAGCCCCAAGACGGCCCCAAGAGCGCCCAAGAGCACTCCAAGAGCGTTCCAAGAGGGGTCCAAGAGGCGATTTTAGGGGCTTCCGAGGGGGGACGCTAATTAAACCCCCCCTCTTGTTTGATCGATCTCCTCCAAGATGGCCCCAAGAAGCGCCCAGGAAGCCCCAAGAGGTCCCAAGATGGCCCCAAAATGGCCCCAAGAGGCCCCCAAGAGGCCCCCCGGAGGCCCCCAAGAGACCCCCAAGAGGCCCCAAGAGCCCCCCCAGATGCACCCAAGATGCTCCAAGAGGCCTCGGCGAGAATGCCTAATCATTGATTCTACACAGGTTTTAGCCACATGGAGGCCTCTTGGGGGGGGGCACGGATTAAGATGACTCCAAGAGCGTCTGGGAGAGCCCAAAATGACCTCCAAGATGGCTCAAGATATCCCAAGATGTCTCATAATGGCTTCCTCTGTGTGCTGCCCACTTCTCTGATCGAGGCAATTCCTCTGGGCATCGTTTCTGGATGGGCTGGTGGGGATTCGCGAAGCGACAACAATTCGTTTGGAATTCGTGGGAGGCCTCCCGGGGGCCTATTGAAGGCAGTTTTGGAGGCCTCCTGGGGGCCGTTCGGGGTTCTGTTGGGGCCTCTTTTGGGGGCCTCTTTTGGGGGCCTGTAGGGAGCCTCTTGGGCTCACTTAAAGGCCTCTTGGACCCTCCTGGGGGCCTCTTGGGGCGGAAGGCTCGAATTGTCGGTTCGTGTTCCCCCCTTGGGTCCTTCTTTGGGCCGTCTTTGGGCACTCCCGTCTTGGGACTCTCTTGCGCCGTCCTGACGCCCTCCTTGGGTGCCTCTTGGACCGTCTTGAGCTAATTTCTGGGGCCTCGTGGGCTGTCTGGGACTGTCGGAAGCACGAAAAAATGAGAACACGAACAAATGCTACCGGCAAAAACCTTCGAACAACATACTACTTGTTGCGCCTCCTGAGGGCCTCGTGGGAATCCTTTTGAAGGCATCCTGGCCGTCTTGAGGCCCTCTTGGGCTATCTTCAGGCCATATTGGACCAACATTGAAACGGTCTTGTGCGGTCATTGGGCTCTCTTCGTGCGCTCTTGGTCCATCTTGGCGCACTTTTGGACTTCTCTCGGGCCCTCCTTTGACGCGTTTAGGCGCGCCCCGACGAGTCCAAAACGGCCGGATACCGAATCAGTGAACTCCGGGGCCTAATGCTATCAAGGATAATCTACGTTGTGCGACCCGCGCGGGGCGCAATCTATGTTCCGCAAACTATGTGGAACAATTCATGTAATGCAATTTTTATGATGTAATACATGTTGTGGCATATATGTTGTGCAATCTATGCTGTGCCATATGTGGGGTCAATCTCTGTGTGTATATATATGTATATATCTATATATGAAGAGTATTCTATGTGGTGCAATCTGCGCGGTGCAACCTATGCGGTGCACACTCTGCGGTGTAACTACTTTCTGTTCGCGCAAAGTTGTCAACTCCACTGATCGCGCAAACATTCCACCCATCCCTGGTTTGAAAAACCCACGCGGCGGCAATTGCGATGAGTGCTTGGTGTTGGCTGGTGCATCTCTGCGGCCGCGCTAGCCCGCGCATGCTCGCGCGCGCGCAGCGGCCAGCTAGTTTGGCGCGTCTGACGCAGCCACGGTGGCGCTGACCGCTGGATACTTCCCAACGGACACTTAAGTGCGAGTCTGCGACTTGGGCGGGCGCGGTATCATGGCAACGTCGGTACCGGTAGACACGATGATGATAGTAGCGAAGCTGGTGACGATGATGCCAACGACGACGGCACGACTAGTGACGGCGCCGATGCTGATCTCGCCGACGACGATGACGGCGTCCTCGCGTTGGTGATGAAGGTGTCGGAAGGAGCTCGACATGCGCGCGGCCTACGCGCGAGTGGCCCTCAAGATTCCAGTTGACACGGATCGTGCCCCCCCCCAGCACGCGCGCAAGGGCGTTCGAATGATTTCGACATGCGGCGCGAGAGGTCCGCTTGGCAGGATTTATTGAAAATGTTGGAAGTCCTTGGTTTTCTTGGCAGTCACAAGAGCGCGAGCGCAGGCTTTTTTGTTTAGAAAACTGATGTTTCAAAACCATGTAGTTTCACATGCTTGCGGGGCGCTCGGTTTTGACATCCTTCCGGAACCTAAGGTTTGTGATAGGTTTCGCCATGCGCGCGCGACGACACGCGCGTGCGCACTTCGTCTCATTGTCTGCCAGGGACTCTTGTGACTGCACGCGCGCAAGGGCATTCGAATGACTTCGACACACGCGCAAAAGAGACACATCTGGAAGCATTGCATCAGCATGTTGAACAACTTATGGTTTTCTTCAGAATTCGCAAGAGCGCGAGCGCAATTTTTTGTTGGCAATTCTTGTTTCGAAGCCATGTGTTTTTTATGTGTTCGGGGCACTCGACTTTGAAATCCGTAAGAAACCTCAGGTGTTTGAGTGATTTCGGCATGCTCGCGCGACGACGCGCGCGTGCTCTTCGTCCCACTAGGTGCAAGGGGTTCTTGAAAACGGATGATGTGTCATAAACGAGTGCCCGTGCAACACATGTTTTTGCCGAGGAGAAGGGGGGCGTTGCCCGTTTAGCTGGGATGCTACGAATTCATATTTAGGATGAACGATGGGGCAGAATCGCGTGTACATTGGAATACGAGCAGGTGGCCCGTTAAATCGGGGGGGAGGGTAGATCCGCCGAATACTGTTCTAGAAAGGAAAATCTATGCGAGGCGGCGACGGGGCGACGACGGCGGCAACATAGCAGCCAAACCGACCGTCAGGCCCAGACGACGCGCGGCGACAAGGCGCCGACGGGCGGCGGCGGCGGCGGCAACATGGTCGCCAAGACCGACCGTCAGGCCCAGACGATGGGTGGCGACGAGGCGGCGACGGAGCGGTGACGGTGGCAGCATAGCCGCCAGACCGACCGTCCAGCCTGGACGACAGGCGGCAACGAGGCGGCGACGGGGCGGCGACGGCGGCAACATAGTCGCCAGACCGACCGTCAAGGCCAGCTCCATATCCCGTACGCAAGAGCCCTTAAGTGCAAGCACTGCTTGGGGAGCAGTGTTACTTATGAGCCACGTCTACATCGCAGATGGGGGGAGCTGGGAAGGGGCACGTCACTCGCTGGAAAAAAAACCTTGCCCCGATTTGTGGCCACCGCCATCGCTGCAGCGACCTCCAACACCGACCCCGACTCTTGGTTCGGGGGCGGACATCATGCAACGAGCCTTCGCTGCGCGCGTGACCTGCTCGTCGGAGAAGGCGCCGCTCGGGTGCTGCCAGGGGCTTCCCTGGGCCACGCTGCCCCCCGGATTCCCATGGAGCACCCCACGGCCGCCAGGGCAACCCTCACGATGCCCAGAGGGCCCCCATGGGGCTCCACAGTGGAGCGAGCAACGACACGTGTGCATGCACGCCCTCCGCGGTCCTGCGTGCACGAACCTCCGCGTTCAAACGCACATCGGCGGAAACAAACCGCGTACATGCACCTCCGCGTTCAAACGCACATCGGCGGAAACAAACCGCGTACATGCACATATGTTGTGGCCACGGACGCCGCTGGCGGCCCCCGAGACGTCCGGGGCCGGGAAGGTCAGCACGCGGCGCAGCGTGTCCGCGGGTATGTAGGGGTCCTGCGGCGCGAAGACCGCGTCACCCGAGCGCCGCACGCGCCCCGAGCCCTCTTCGGCGACGCGCCCCGGGGGGGGAAGCGAGGAGGAGCAGGCCCTCTCAGAAGCCCTCTGGCCTTCCGAGCACTGTCCTGCGTCCTCGGGAACGGCGCCTAGACAACTTCTCAGAGGGCCCGAGGCCTTCCGAGGCAGGCCCGCCCTGGCTCACTTCTGCCCCCCAGTCTCGCCGCCGACCTCTGCCCACAGCCCCGCCAAGGCCCGGACCAGCGTCGTCTTGCCGCAGCCCGACTCGCCGGTGACGACCAGGCGCTCCCCGGGCCCCACCGCGAAGGCGAGATCCCTGCAGATGGCGGCGCCCGAGGGCAGGGAGAGCGAGAGCCCCCCCACGCTGACGCCCTAGTCGGCTACGCGCAGGGGTGACCCTGGGCAAGAGTGGCCTTTGGTGCGCGGCTTCAGGGGGCCTCGGGGACACCACGTCTAAGCGTGCAGGCCATGCCATGCCAGGGGGACCCCTGTGGGACCGCACCGAAGGTCACTCTGGCCAAAGGTCACTCTCACGCGTGCAGTCGGACTTCGTTGGACAGGACACGCGAGAGGACACGAGACCCTTCCGAGGGCCACACTGCCACAGGAATGTAAGAGGCATGGGTCGCGAGACACAGGACACAAGAGTACCCCTGATTTGGCAGGGTCGACCTACTAATCCGGGCCGACTGTAGCCGACCTCGCCCGACAGCTCCACGCTGACGCCGTCGCCCGCGGACGCGCGGGCCGCGGCGTCCGCCAGCGCGTCCTCCAGGCCCCCGAGCCGCCCGCCCTCCGCCACCAGGGAGGAGACCGAGCGGAACTTGCGCACGACGACGGTCAGCGCACTGAGGGAGGCCTGGAATTAGGTCGGGCGT